AGTTCTCCCAACACCGACAAGATGAAAGGTGAGGGTTAGAAAGGTAGCAGAACAAACCTCCAGAACGACATTGTGGCGCGGGAATTCCAGTAAGTAAGGAAAGTTAGTAGGTAGCTTGGAGAGCAAGCCTGGTGCAAGAGAGCGAGAGCAATTACTGCGCGGCAGTCGAGCAAGCCCTTCCGCAGACGACAATATACCGTGGATTCAATACGGAGCTTGATTCGAAGTGGGCAGGCAGACAGTAGGCCGGGTCTGGCACTGCAGGAGGATCTTGCCCTCTTTTGGGATGGGACTGCGCTAGGCTTTATTGGGCTTAGTGCTATAGTACCTACTCTTTCGTCGTAGCTATACGGGCTCGGTACATAAGCCACGTCGACGTCAACTACCTTTTCCATTACACTTTGGGATGCGGATTTCACTCTTATGGAGATTTGAGGGTCGACTCAGTATAGAGCCGAGATTTTGTGCTGGATTACTCTGTACGGAAGAGAGGTAATTGGTTACTTGGGAATGGGTCAACATAATTGGAATGAGCGGAGAGTCCTACCGCGGCAGTACGACAGCACAGTACATACAGCACTGATGTGGCGCGCGAGGTCTTATTGCCTCGACATCACTGACTGGCTCATGCACCAATGTTTATACGATGGGAACGAGCAGAAACCGAACTGTTCCATTTATCCAATAGCCTCGCCTACTTTTCCTAGACCCTGAAAAAGAAAAAGCCGAAAATGACTGGTAGAGAGATAGAACCTAAAAGAATTTTGTAGGAAAGAGCAATGTGATACGCCAAATACATGTTGAGGAGGAGAGATAATAAAGACCATCACATATACACTTATCACGTCGGGAAATCACAGATAAGATCATTCAATTAGAGCAAGCCAGATAGACAACATGCGATGGGGCGAGTGACAATGCAGCATCACGACAACCAGCGCGGATATCCGTTTAGAGAAGTACACAAGGAAACAAGAAAAAAATAGGAAAGCACATAAGAATTGAAGTACAGAGAAAAGTGGCTCATGAAATCTCTCTATTTCTTGCCATAGGCACGGTCGACATCAGCCTGGAAACGATTGAGGATCTTCTTACGTTGAAGCTTCTGAGCGGCAGTCATGTAGCCCTGTTCGAATCAGAGAATGTTAGTCATACTGCATAAATGTGCAAAAGTGTTTTGGTGTGCTTCTGCTTACGTTTTGAGGAGTCCACTCCTCGTCGGAGAGAATGACTCCGTTGATGATCTCAATACCCTTGAGACCGCCGGCCCGACCAGCAGCCTGGAGCTGCTTGAGGACAATCGACTTCAACTTCTCATTGTGTGCCAGGGTCTCCAGGTTGTCGCCCTCGATACCATTATCCTTGGCGATCTTCTTCAACGCGGGCTCAAGGGGTACGATGATGGCAACCGGCTTGTCTTGGTCCTGTGCGGCGTAGACACAAATGTTGCCCACCACAGGAGACGACCGGTAGACAGACTCGAGCTTCTCCAAAGCAATGTACTCACCGTTAAGAGTCTTGACCAAGTTCTTCTTGCGGTCAATAATCTTGATGTGACCATATTTGTCGAACTCGCCAATATCGCCTGTCTTGAACCACCTGTCTTCAGTAAATGCTTCCTTCGTCTCGTCCTCGTTCTCCCAATAGCAGCTGCTAACACTGGGTCCGCGGATGTAGATCTCTCCCTGGGGCGGGTTGTTCTTGGCAAAGTAGCCGGCATCGGGGAAGTCCACGAGCTTCATTTCGATCGATCCCGGAATTTCACCCAGAGCGTCCGGGTTCCAGGCCAGAGGATCGTTCAGGGCACCCATTGCCGACGTTTCAGTCAACCCATAGCCGCTGATCATGGGAGCGATAGCCATGGACAGGAATTTCTGCGTATCTTTCGAGACGGGTCCACCGCCGTTCATCATGATGCGCAAGCGGCCACCGGTCGCTTCCTTGAGCTTGCGGAAAACAACAGCATCGAGAATTCCAGCACCCATGTCCACACCAGGGAAGCCAGCAGTCATGAGGAAGTTCTTGGCGGACATGGCTCCCCAGAACATGCCCCTGACAAGGAAGTTGTTCTTGTTCAGGTTGTTGAGAACACCCTTCTTGACCGACTCCCACACAGCGGGCACACCAACCAGAATCGTGGGCTTCAGTTCGCGAATGTCTCCCTTGCAATTACGCATAGAGGTGTCCGAAAGAGTGCGAGGGTTTCCGTAGCCCATAGTACCACCCCAGAATAGGCAAAGGTTCTCAAACATGAATTCGAGGATATGGGCCTGAGGAAGATATGTCAAAAGCGAATCAGAGGGTCCGATGTAGGGTCCGACAATCGCGTGAATACCCGCACCTATCCTCTGGTCAGTTCTGCGGACATCAGGCAAGAAGCATAGATCGATTTGCGGACTCACATGCGGAGACGACGTTAGCCTGGGTCAAAGAGACACCCTTGGGAGGTCCGGTTGAACCAGAAGTGTACATGATACAGCACAGATCCTCGCGACTGGGAGGGACCGGGTCCACGGGGTTCTCCTCGCCTAGCTTGCGCAACTCCTCGATGCTGATAACATTCAGATAATCGAACTCCGACTTGAGCTTGTCCAGGTCTTCCTTCTTAACTTCCTGATCGGTGTTGTAGATGACATGCTTGATTGACTTCACATCCTTGAGGACGTGAGCCACCGAAGGGATGAGGCCAGGGTCACAGAAGATGGCGAGACTGGACGTTTGAACCAGGGAGTGCTTCAAGCCTTCCTCGCCCAGGGTGTCATACGCAGTAACAACCGTCAGCGACTGGGATGCGGCACCTGTAACAGGACAATCCAATCAGTAAGGGATCCATCAACAATAAGACGTTCATGCGCAACGAACCGTGTGACATGGCCAGCCAATGTGCACTGTCAAAACCGCCACAGTTAGCGTTTCCCATCACCCGGATGATATCACCACCAGCACCGTAAAGTTACACGCGTACCTTGTTGCGCCGTAGAGATGGATTTTATCCGGCTTCTCCAAGCCGAGTTTGCGCAAACCACTACCAAGCTCAAGCGCCAACTTCTCGTACTCGTTGAAGGTCAGGAAGGTATAACCGCTCATCTCGAAGTAGGTCCATTCCTTGTCGACCTCCTTTTCCACGCCGTCCACGATCTTCTTCACCTTCTTCTTCTCCACATGGGTCTTGACCAGGCGACGGGTGCCGACAGCCTTCGAGTTTCCGTACAGCCTCGCGGAGCGACGGAAGATCTCGTAGGTGGTGCCGGCATCTTCGGCCGGTCGCTCGAGGAGCCCATCTTTCGCGAGAGGCAGTCGACGAGGAATGGTCTCTCCTTCGACAGGTTCCACGCCGGGGACCTCCACCGAGAAAGGTGGCTTCTTGTACATGCGCGGTTGAATGCGCAGCTCCTTCAAGTTCGTCATGGCGACGGAGGGTTCAGCGCTCGGCGGGTCGGACTGAAGAGAGGATCTGTAGAGAATAGAGGGAGGTCTCTCTGTCAGCGACGAGGTGGAATTTGGGTTCGATTTGGAGGGTGGTTCATGGAGAGGCAAACGCCATGAAAGAGGGGGAACCAGAGGAAGGCTGCGGATAGCACAAAGTCAAAGGTCGACTTACAGTAAGCAAGTTCCGCTATGGGTCGGTTCCACACCGAGAAAGCTTCAATTCCAAGAAGTTGCCGGTCTAAGGGAGGAAAGGGAGGTAGATGGGATAACAAATTCAGATTCGGATCCAGATTCAGAGATAAGAATGTAATCAAGAGTATGGAGAAAAAGGCTGGGAATGGGGAGAAGGAGATGGACAGAAAATGAATGGGAGATGGGATGAGATGGGGAAGGGAAAAGAGAACAGAAGGGGAAAGAAAGGTCGGGATAGGTGAAGCTAGCTACCTAGTAGCTACCTAGGTAGTAACTTAGTTGGTAGTAACGTAGGTAGTTAACTTACCGCAGAGGTCTCCCGCGCTGCCAGCCTGGACTGAATCTTGTCTCTCTTACTTAGTCCGGACAGTGCAGAATAATGAAGTCAGTTTATTTGTGGCTGGGCGGGAAAAATGGTCAAGCCCCCCCTCTTTCCTGGTCCTTATTCGCGGCTACTACTTGGGTATGACGGAACCCGACGGAGCGAGTTGTTGGACTGGAGAATCGCCAAAAGAAAAGACAGAAAATTGGGATTGCCCCCATGGTACGGACTACCGTCATTGTTATCATCTCTGGTCTTTAAGAGAAAGCACAAACAACTTTTTTCTCATCGCCATGGCTCTCTCTCAGTCATTTACGAGATCTGTTCTGGAACCGAACAAATCATTCGACGCCACGGAAGAGCAAAAGAGAGTCAGGAGCTCGGAAAGTGCACGAGGTGCTACAACAGTTAGGTACAGTCGCTAAATTCAGCTTTGCAGGGTACAGACTGTACAGCAGTACTTAGTACATGTCTAGGCAGGATTGAAGGATTGCCGCGGTCCACAAGACTCCAGCAGTCCAGCCAGACTGTCAACAGTTCCAGGATACGAAATATGGAGTCATCCGCATATAACGGCGGATGTTATGACCTACAATGACGCCCCCATCGTCATTAAAGATCTGACAGGAAATCATCGAGCAATTTTTACCGACAGGGCCCATCTTAGTTAACAGAACATGATTGTCGCCCGCCCTTCGCATCTCTTAGGCTTCAGATCGCAAGTTCTAGCTTGGCACTGATTGTTTGAGGGTCCCTTACTCCGTACTGAGTCTACTCACATGTCACTGGAGAAAAAATCTCGCGTGGACCGAAGAATAGAATTCGATCATTGACATGACAGGGAAAAAGCAGCTTTCAGGGAATACTTGTGTAACTGGACGAGCATTAGTGCTGACGCCCACGGCCCGTCGGCTATAGTCGACTGTTGGTCACGTAGACTAGATCTTTGGCTTATGCACCGCTTATGTAACTATCCTCCGCGATGCCCCCCCCCCGGCGCTATCTGCAAAACTTCATCCTTCGGGAGATGCCGAGGATTCACTGATATCAAGTGAAACACGCTCGTGCAGATCGGCTGCTGATTATTGCCAAATCGAAAGTGCGATATACTCCCTATCTTCCATCTCTGATTCCTGCTCGAAAAAAGCAAAGCTAATTGAGACCCGTTTCTCTATAACTAGAGTGGTCCTCCGGTCTTGTCCGTCGCATCGCCGATCTCCGAGCACTCCAGTCATTGGCGCAATTCATACTATAGCCCACCATTCTGTACCTCCGATTGTTTGGTAGGAATTTAACTCTGAAACAATGGAACGGATCACCAGTTTCCTGTCGTTACTTGGAGAAGAGGTAGAAGATGCCGAAGAGGGTATGTCCCGAACAATCCCATTTGCTTCGATCGCAGCCAGTATATGCGTGCCGTATGCAACATAGAAGAAGAAGAAACAACCTTCATAGATCATCAACGCTGCAGTCATACCATGTGAAGAGGGGAGAGACCGAGGGAGAGACCCAGATTCCTATACATCTGCATGCACATAGCCAATCTAGCCTGCCCCCTTGTCATCTACCTCAGCGCCAGCTCTCTTAGAACCTGATTAATTGATCCAAACCGACTATGCACTACAGAAGCCTTCTACCTTTTCGCACAAGACATCCCATCCTCCAACTTAGGCTTCGTCGACTCGCGCGCCACGACCGTCGACCTCACAGTCAACAACCAGGACTACACCATCCATCAATCGCCCACGTTACTCTCCTCGACCCGTGCAGGGGGCACAACAGGCGCAGGTTCGTCCACCACCTGCCGTCATGCATATCTATACCTATACCCTTCATGCTGACACGGGTTCGTCTTCAAGTCCTCTGGAAAATCACCCCGCTCTTCTCCGAATGGCTATCCTCCGCGACCAACCCCCTCTGGACCCAATCCCTCCTCTCCGCCGCCTCCACCGTCGTCGAACTCGGCTGCGGCATCTCCGGGCTGAATGCCCTCACCCTCGCGCCCAAGGTCCACCACTACATCGCGACAGACCAGGAATACGTCCACCGGCTCTTCCGTCAAAACATCGAGACCAACCACCAGCCCTCAGCCTCAACCAGATCCTCCAAGTCTCGTAAACAGCAGCAGCAGCAGCAGCAGCAGCCCAAACGCAGCAAACCCAAACAGCAACAGCAACAACAACACGCCTCACAGCAATCAACATCATCACCGAACATCACCTTCACCTCCCTGGATTGGGAAACCGACGTCGCAGGCTCGCTGAAGGCCAGCGTCGGATTGGAGAACCCTGACCCTGGTTCCGACGACGATGAACAAGAAATCGATCGAGGCTTCGATCTCCTGGTATCCTGCGACTGTATCTACAACGATGCGCTCGTGGCACCATTCGTGCGCACGTGCGCCGATATCTGTCGGTTGAGGCCGGTGTATACCACAGATAGTTATGGGGCGAGGAGCCGAACGCCGACGATCTGCCTCATCGCGCAGCAGCAGCGGTCGCCGGAGGTGTTTGAGGCTTGGTTGCAGGAGACGTTGAAGGTTTTTCGCGTCTGGCGGGTCGGTGATGATGTGCTTGGGGAGGCGTTAAAGTCCGGGAGGGGGTATTTGGTGCATCTTCTGCTTCTCAGGTAGTTGAGATTTGGTTGGGGGGGGGGGAAGGGTGTAGTCGGTCGGTCGAGTTCAGATGAGGTTGGGAGATGCAAATGGAGATTTTCCTGCGTGTCCTGCTTCTTCCGAGTTTGATTCATCTTTCGACCGATCTATCATGACTGAATCGCGTGTATATGTGTCAAAAGTCTGCGTGACGCGGCATTGGAATCAAGGAATTCATATCTAATGATAATTTGTTTGGATGATCACACAAAAAGATCGATATCAGGAAAGCACGAACGCAGTCACCATGCGCTATGGAATGGAACATCCGTTTGCTCGTTGAGGTGTTGCTCAACAATATAAACTATTCGTAAGCATCCACTATGTGCACGTGATCGGAATACGAAAGACAAGAAGGTAAGCTCAGATCGATTGAGACCCTCGGGGCCAGCCATATGAGGTAAGACATTATTACATTAAGTAAGAAACAACATGCAGAAGGCCACCCACATATACAAAGGAGGGAAAGGGTATGTGACGCAGAATCCCTCACGGCAGCAACCACCACCGGAAACATGCTCAAAACTATGATGCGAGGCAATGAGGCGGAACGTCTTGTGTCTTCAACTACCGCAATGCAACGATGATTAGTAAAATTATAAGACTGCTATTACTGTGTATCGGCCGTGTCTTTGGGGTCAGTGTTCTCTTTCTCATGCTCACGTGGACGAGGAAACTCGGCCTCGTCCTTGAAGGGGCGTTTATGGTCCGGGGAGGTTTGCATGGGAATCTCCATCGGACGAGGGGGGTTCGTATCTAACCGCTGCTCGCGGGGGTCGCTCTCCGGGTCGCGGTCAATGATGGATGAGATGGATTGTTTCGTCGAGCCGTTGAGGCGGGCTTGTAGTTGATGTTGATCTGGAACCGGGGGCATCGTCATTACTGGAGGTGCAGGCAACGTCCTATCTGTGGACTCGGTCTTCACTGGGATATCATGGCTTTCCTCCTCATCCGACGCAGAAGAATACTCAATGTCTTGTTGGTATCCTTCATGGTCTGTGGGGCCGGACTCGAGCCGGCTCTCTTCCGTGGATGCACGGTTGATATTTGCCACTGGAGGAAGAGGGGCGTTGGGGTCGTAAACCAGCCCGCATACTTCCAATGCCCGGGATTGACTGCCCAGGCTGCGGTCCTTGTGTTTCTTCGTCAAATGGCACATGAATCCATGGAGAGTCACAAAATCGGCCTTCCCACAGCCGGATACCGGGCAAGTCAAATATACCAGACTACCGTCTGAGGGACGCTTCCAGAGAGCCCTGCCAGAGGGATCATGCGCGGCGGGGCGCCCATGTCGCTCTCCCCAGGCTTCGACATTCTTAATAGTATACTTCTGCTTTCGTCTGATCGAGGTAGCGCCAGTGGGATCATGGTGGATGTGCTGAGGTGCAGGTGGAGGTGGAGGAACGTGGGGTGCAGGTGCTTGTGTCGGCGGCGGAGGGATGGGACGAGGCTCCGGGGGGCTTTGTTGCTTGAAAAATGCAAGGGTAGTGGCTGCATTGGTCTCCGACAACCGACGAGGCGGCGTCGGTCGAAGCGGCGGGGAGTCCATCCCAGCGTTATACCCGAGGCCCATGGATTCTCTTTTCAGGCGCTTTCGTTGCCTACGCAGTTCCTATTCCGTAGGCACATGCGGTATCATGTCAGATGGTGTTGTTTTTGGAAGAATAAATAAGGCACAATTTTCACTTCTTTCTGCTGTTGTTCTTAACCATACCTCTTCTTCTGCTTCGGCATTCTCCGTCAACCTACGAAAGTCCTCGTCCTCTCGCTTGCGCATGGCGAGAAGATGGCTACGAGCCGCCATACGAGCCGCTTCTTCATGCTCCAATTGTCTCAGGCGAGCTTCAATCTGGTCAATATGCGGATGATGAGCGGGCGGTGCTGGAGCGGAAACCGGAGCTGGCGGGCCTGGTTCCTGCATAGGAGGAGGCGGCGGTGGTGGTGGAAAAGGACGAAATTGATGGTGACCGTGCATCAAATGCTCCGGGGGAATTGCTTGGCCCGGATTCATTGCGATTGGGTGGAAACGTGGGAGGCTCATAGTATTGACATGATGACCGAGTCCGCCGTTGATCCCATTCTCGTGCACTGGTGCCACGGGAGGCGCTGCAACTGTCATGGTGGAGGACTGGATGCTCAGTCAGACAATTAGTTATTTGCAATTACTTGTTGCTGGCATGCAGATGCAAAAGTTTGCTGGGAAGTTTGATGCAGCCGCGAAGAAGATGCGCGCCTCGGTGAACGCAAACGACAGTTGACACGATTTCCGAAGTATATCCAAGGAGGGTTATCTCATTGAAGAATGGGGAATACGTGACCCAGGAAGGAGGACGACAAGGGTGGTGGAAGGGAGGTGTGAGAGGGATCAGAGGGAAGGGGGGTGTGGGGGGCAAGAGGAAAGGAGGGTAAGTAGGATTGAAGTAGATGTGAGATACCAGTCGCACGGCGGGTGATATGATGAAACTCAATGAGGGCAAGGGAAGCAGGGTGTCAAGGACTGACTCTACTTACTCTCTTTTACACTTGCAGCAATGATCAAAGCAATGTCAAAGGGCAGTAGAGTAAGTGTACAGTAAGTACTTGAGTACTACTGTACCAACCAAGAACAGAAAGGAAAAAACAAATTGCTAGCGCAATGCAGCTTGCCCGTTTTTCTCTCCAATTCTTTTTTTCCCTTTCCACCTTCCACGGATTTTCCCGTAAATTTTCCTCAGTGGGGGTTTTCGTTGTCACCCACTAGAGTTGCAAGACGATGCAAGTGGCAACGGTTAAGCAAGGGGAGTCGATGGCTTGGGGAAATCCAAGAGGAAGAACACGACCAAGAGTTGTCAACGATAGATCGAGGATGGAAAGGGTCCTAAGTTCTAACAAATATGGAGATTGAACGAAGGTTCAAGCTCAGACAACATTGATTGAAAAGAAAACAACAATCGCAAGAATAGAAGAGGATACAGAGTTGGAGAAATAATCATCAAAAGTAATAGTAACAATAATAAATTAAACCAGTCAGCTGGGACAGCTCTAGTCAGGACGCTAGTAGCTAATAAAACTAGTCAAGAGTAGTCAGTGGTGACTAGACTAGACTAGAGCTGTGAACAGAAAAAGCCAGTTTGATTTTACGGTCAGTTGGAAACAAACAAGTCCATGGATGAAGTCTGGGACTCTGGGACCTGCAACAGCACTAGTGAGGTCCCATGTCAGATCTAGTAATAATTGACAATATTGGCCATAGTTCTCCGCGTGATGTAGGACAAAAATGCACAACTCTTAAGCTTCATTGGCATAGCAGCAACACATAGTTCGGAGAATTTAACAGTTTGAAGAGACAGACTGGAGCTGTCAGGCGTGAAGTCTCTCTTTTGGAGATGACAGAGGCATTGGAAGAGGGAGAGGAAAATCGGAACTTCATGGAGAACTGCCCTAAGACGCAATTGTCAAATTGGCAAAATGATTACACCTCCCCTTCTTTCTCGGTGCCAAAATCCTTCAGTGCCAAAACTCATTATGTGTTGTATTAGCCTGGACCCCCCTCTTCCCCCCTCTCTCCGAGCTGAGAAACCCACTACTGTCACACTAGTGACAAACACAAATCGACCCAGGATCCTATGAATGTATTCCGTAAAATCTTCTTATTCATCATCCACTTCCCTCTCCAAATCTAATCTTGGATCTGAGATGTACTCACCTTGATTGCTTAGCGTAAAGCAGACAAGCAGCACCAAAGAAAAAAGAAAATAGATGACGAAGAATCAGGAGCAAAGACCAGGGTTGATATGTGCCATGCCATGACAACTAGGGCACCCCGGGTGAAGTACCGAAAAACCACACAAGGTGGAATCGTAGAATTGAATGGGACCAAAAAATCAGGTACGCCCACGGCAAAAGGACTGCACTCTTTTTGGTTGAAGTGGTCCCTCACTGGGCAGGCTCCGGGTGCTTTCGCCTCGGTAAGTTGCTGATGAATCACCAAGGCATTTTTTAACACTTGCAAAGAGATTCAGCATGTAAAACAAGTTGTCGTAATAATAATTCTGGAAATAATAATAAAAACAATTAATATGTGGTACATCCAAAGTTTCGAAATTCTCTTTCTATCGCTTCAGTAGTGCTACCTTGGTTTTTATTTTTAGCCCTGAGGCTGGCAGCCAATGAGGCCCAGCTGATCTACTATTTATCTTGTAACGCAAGTTTTGAGAAGACAGGTAGAATATCGTGGAAGTTTAATGTCTGACACATGGCCAAACGCGATGGCATTTGGAATACTCTATCGATTGCGACAGTAACCCGTCATCAACAATTCCGCCCGTTCGTTCCCACAGCGTAGGAATGGCATTAGAATCCGAAGACTGAAGTAAAAGACGGCGCGACGGGGAATCGACAGACAGGCCGTCCACCGAAAAGTGGGCGGTACCTTTTCCTTCCAGTGTTAAAGGAGAAAAGTGGATGTACTACGATTGTGCTGATGAGGGTAAGTAATACTGAGGGCACGAAGTGGGGAATGACCCAAACCTCAACTGGAATATTCCTGGAACAGGTACATTAGCAGAGTGATCGACAAATGATGAAGGAGAAAATTTGCAGCCAGACGTAGAGGCCTCAATCTAAGGAAATAGACTTGCTCCAAGTGGCTCTGAAATTAGGCTGGACGTGAGGAGTGCCCTTTTTGTCTAAGCCAGAGCCAGGGTAAAGAACGGGGCGCGCAACAGACGATCCAGACTTCTTTTGGGTCGGTAACAGTCGGATAAGGACTGTCTGTTAGTAACAGGCTTCTGTCTTCATGAAGCACTGTGTGGCCCGAGCTGAATCATTAACAAATTGCTCTCCATATTGTCACTGAGACTTTAGGCTTAGACTCTTAGATCGCAACAACATTCAATTGTTCTTCTCAATAATACTCGGTAAGTTACATCGTGTACGTGTCCAGAGCCCACTCTAAAAATCAAGTCTACTTTCCCAGTCGGCCAGCCAATGTATCGACTGCAGTTGTGTACAGCGTTGATTTGTCCTCTCTGCGGCACCACCACTGCAAGTCTCCCAGTGGAGATTGGCTGCATCATTGAAGGCTGTCTGTATGCTGCCGATAAGGACAGAAAGTACTGTATACACAGACATACATACAGTACAACGCTACAGGTTCCCGTCCCCCGTCCCCCGTCCCCCGTCCCCCGTCCCCCGTCCCCCGTCTCCCATCCATCATCCTACATACTTCAACCATTCAACTTCTTTAATTCAACTAATCATGGTATGTGTTGTGCTTGTTGACTATCATCGCACAAGCTAATAGGAGGAGACAGTCATCTTGGACGCTTAACCGCCCTTCATATATGTCCCCTTTACCCCATACTCAACAAGCTAATGCCCCGTCCATGTCCAAGGATGATGATGTTCTGGCCTGCCGGTTTAGACCATTGAACTATATTAAATACTCTGGATCGATAAGTCCAAAAAGGCACTGTCAATCCTGCATATCCCGCTCCACTAGTGATGGAGCAATGAGTCTGCTTCCACCCTCTTTGTCGTCTATCCTTGATTGATGGAATTCTACACAGAAAGGATCTTTCTTCCTTCCCCACCACCGGTTCCCCCCCTCCTCCCTCCTCCTCCCTCCTCCTCCCTCCTCCTCTCCATCCCATCTCAACCTTCCAGCGCAATCAGAATTTACTCACTTTTAGGCCAGAGACAGCCACCGTCAGCCGTACTTAGGTGCAACCGATGCATGTCAACAACAATAACAATAACCATAAAACCCTCTGTAGATTCGTGGCAATTTGCGATTCAGAACCGCAGTGCTGTACACCTCTCTACCCTTGTTTACTTTCGGAACACAGAAATTAGGTAGTCTTCATCATCGCGAGATTTTCAGTCCAATCAATGAAATTTAGTCTGCATGTAAGGACTGCTACCCACTACATAGTCTTCTCCTCCTCCTCCAGCCTACAGCCTATTATACTGCATAGTAGTGCAGACGGATGCAATCCCACAGTGGATTGTCTGTCCACAGAAGCCATAGACATCAATCCCGTCGTCGACAAACACATCAGCGCATTTCACCAAAGTGAGGCTGCGAGCAGTAGAACTGGAAACATAAGCGCTACGGCGACTGGAGGATAACGCCTTTCCGCCAAGGGCACAGTCAACTAATGGGATCCGACTAAGGTTACTGGAAGTCAACGTTGTTTTCTCGTCCTTCCATCATCAAACGAGAAAGGCCCTTCGAGATTTACAACCACCGACAAATGAACATCTATTTTTCTTGTTTGGTTATGTTCTTATGCAAGTCAGCGCATTGATCTATCTTGCGGGTGCCCACCACCACCACCACCACCACCCCCCCCTCTAATAATTGTAGTGTAGTGTAGTTCCCGAACTTCCAATCCCTGACGCCAGACAGTCAGTCAGTAAGGTAGTCCCTTTCCTACCCTGCCAGTTACTTAGTAGTCATCAGCAAATTGTCTCTGCGTTGGTAGTGAGCACAACTGGCGATAATGGTGAGATGGGGAAAGGAAGTATCAGAAACTTTCCCTTCCTTTTGTTGGCGCCGTCCTCGTGGCGAACATACTTGAAAGGAGTTCTTGGGTCGTCGACCTTTGACAACCCGGGACGTAGCCTTCAGCATCTCCGGCATGAGGCGTTCGGGCTGTCTCAGTCTGCGGAACCAATTAATCACAACGGGCTGGTCCATCTTGAAAGGGACATTGAAGCCGATGCGGTAAGACTGTAAGTATGCTGAGCTGGTTAGTTCAATCATTGCTGGGCCCAGTACCGGAGATTGTACTACGCACTTTGTAGTAGCCCCTAGTTACACGCTGCTCAAAGAATTGGGAACAGATTACAGTGATAGTCTCTCGGTATCGATGGAGGGTCAGCATACCGTAGGTGGGACTGACTACTTGTGGACACGCGTGCAGTCGGCGGCCCACAAACGATTCTGAACGATTCCAGAATGTCTACCACACAAAGGATAGTTTCTCATAGAATATTCTCTGTTGAGCGAAGACTACACCACTCTTCACAAGATCAAGCATGCACACCGGTTTAATCGAGAGGAGAATTTCTTCTTCTATTGTCACACGTTCCCACACCACATACTTTTCTTTTGTGGGTCCCCAGCCATAATGTCATTAAGTTACAAGATGTAGACACTCCATGCATCCGACCCAACGGATTGCCCTCCGTCAAATACAAACGCTGATCCGTCCCAAGAAGTGCGAAGAGGAGTTTAGGAAAGGGGATAAGAGAACAACAAGTAGATAGCAAAGTGGAAAAAAAGGGAGAAAGGGGAAAAAACAGAACACCCATACACCGAACAAGATCAATCAAAGCTATCGGTATGTGTACATATCATGCATGAAAACAAAAGTGTAGAGGGAGAACCTCTAGGGAATACTGAGAAAGAGATAATACAAGAATATCCCACATCAAGAGACGGGATTTTCAGTCAGGGTAGAACATTTAGGCCTTGTTCTCACCCTCGGGCTTCTGCTGCTGCTGCTCAGCCTGGGCCTTGTGCATCTTGTCGAAGAGGGTCAAGCTAGCGTTCTGGAGC